CTTTCTTGGCTCTGATTGGTTGTTTTCGTTGAAGCCCGGTGGATTCTTGCAAATGCCATTAGGAATGCTTTAAGGACCCAGAGGAACCAGATTTTTTCCTGTCTTGTCCTGTCTCAAGTACTTCTGTAGTGAAAGATTCAGCAATAATGACAAAAAGTTACTTTTATAAAAGTGACCTACTGCAGCTTTAAGTATTCAAAGTAATATTTTTCAAATGTTCTATTGCACAAGAAACAAATTAGTTCCAGCAGATGTTTCAGTTATGCACCGGTATAGTGGTATATGAAAAATTCAAATCATACAGGAAATGAAAACGGGTATACCGGTTCATCCCGATGATCACCCTGCACTAGTCTACGCTGCTGGAAACTTTCAACAACAAGGAGTAATGGTGGAGAGGAACAAACAGTTCAAAGCTTGTTGTAATTACTGTAAAAGTATAATTTCAAGTAAGGGTAGAAACACCAGCAATATGATTAAACATCTTTCTATGCAAAAGGGTTAAATTCCAGGAATGCCTGTACGCCTGAGGACCTGCTCCCTCTATAGATAACAGCTCATTCTAAGGTAAGAGAAACACAACAACTCTTATATTCAGGTGATTATACACTGATGAAACCATAGCTATGAAGATTATATTCCATTTCTGCCAATAGATCCTCCTAAATGTTACACACTGGACCTTTAAAGGCTGAGGCAGTTGATATTCTATACTTCTGTCATTGTCAACAAATGCCATGAAAAGACGAGCAATGAACTGATGCTGCTAACAAGTACTAGTTTGCGTCTTAGACATTTGTTGCTAAAAAAATAAACACCAAGCTGATACTTGGTGAGAAGAACTTTGCAGTTCACCCTGAATATTAGTGCCGCCTTTCATTTGTTAAGGCGTTACAAATCAGTGATGCCTGGATGTCTGGATGCTGTAGTGTGATGATCAGTGTAGGAAAATGATAGTGTAACAATAAACACAACTGGTGAATCAAGTGATAGCAGTTATTATATACCTTAGTTATTATTGGTTAGCATTACAAGCATGCATAGTATTTTATATATGTTATGTTAAGAAAAATACCACCCGTTTGTCTATCACTCAGTGGGAGCTACTTCTTTTTCTCCTTAAGGATTATATGAAAATATGCCCCATCAGATATCAGATACTGAGAATCACAAGCTGCTGGCAGACAGAAAAGCTGAGTGTTCACCAATCAGACCTCAAAGGCTGTGATTGAACAATCACAGTGTACACTGTGCTGAAAGCCATATCAGAGAATTAAAATGACAGTCAGTGGCAAAACAGATACAGCAGTCAATGCTTGTCTGAATATTTGTTTATTATTTAGATTTTACCATGGTACCATTTCTTATGCAGTCATTAGCCGTGTTTCAATCAACATATTTTAATTTCCATTAGGAAAAAGTTGACGGAAACCGCAAACTTCAAAAAAACTTGATGTGGTTCCTGCCTTTTTCAAAAAGGAGTTAATGCACTTAATGGAAGATGAAAACACTTTTTCTAAAGTAGCAAGTATTTAACTCACATGATTGATCAGCTGTTTCTGCTCCATCTTCGTCTTTGGACAGCATGAAACCATGGCTGTATAAAGAGAAGTGGATACAGTGTTGGAGGTGGCGTCTCGTTCATTTCTATGAAGCTAAAAAAGCAACTTCCTGCTGCAAAAAAATGACCCGGATGAATACTGTGCATCCTCTATGGGCCACAGTGGCAGTAGAGACTTGTAGAGCCCTCTGTTAACTTAAATGTGAATAAATAATTGAATCTTGTAAATTCTTCTAGACTTCACGGATACAATTTTGACTGTGAACTGATTCCTTTTGCCAGGGTTGTGACACTCAAAACAATGCATCCACACACACACTTCTTTCCCAATGTAAGCTTGTGGGAAAAAGTCTTTTTGGGCTGGTGTGCATCATGTGATGGACGCCATTGCGGTAATTACATTTCACTGCTGTCTGGCCACTATGTCAAATCGGCTTCAAAGCCCAGCACTCTTCTTGGGGGCTTGCATGAAACATGGATGATAGTAGTCGACATGAAAGAATGATTACAACTTGCCAAACTGAAAAAATCCTGTAGACATCTCTCCATTTTTCTCTCATAGACTGCGACTGGTTTTATCTCATCTTCATCCCTGCTATAGCCTCAGTTATTCCTTCCAAACCTTTTCTTTCGCATTTTTGTTTAATTTTTCTTTTTCATGCCAGCATTTCAAAAGTTCTCTTCAAGTCTGCTTGACAGACAGAAACACAGTAAACTTGGCCTGAGGAGATACTATACTATTTAGCCAATGGGATTATTTGTTAGTGACACAGACAAAAGGCAATATATCAATATGTATAATTAAATGATTCAATCATCAATCATCACAGAAAATTATTTGTTATGTAATAACTATGGAATACACCATATAGTAAAACTGATTTTGGGGAAAAGATGTTTCGAATGGAGCACATTTGTTTTGCTGACTTGCAAAACAAGTTATAAAAGGTCATCATCTTCAGTAACAGATGCAGTGGAAGAAAATATACAAGATAGAAGCCATAAGAGTTTTTATCTACAGATCTTTAAATGGTAGACCTTAACTTTGTGGCCCAGTGTGAAAGTTACTGCATCAACACTGACATAAAACTAATATTTGCTTACAGAGGACCTTTAAAGCAGTGTAGTGTGAAAGCCTATTGACTAGTCGATGATACACTGCACTAGATTATTGAGCCTGCCTGCTAGAAAAAGACCTCCTGGGAATATCTCAAATGTCCTGTGTATGTTCTTTGTTCACACAGTTTCAAATGAGGTACACATCAATGAGAAGAAATGCACAAGAAAACTGAGGAAAAACCCCAAACAAGAGGTCCTGTGCTACAGTCTTAAAGCTTTGAAGCTAGAGTAGTCACACAAATCTCTCTTATTCTGAAATGGTGAGAAATCATTTAGAGGTCATTTTGTGATATATTTGATGATATCAGTCCACTTCCTGCTTTGATCAGTATCTCGTCTGTATGCCCCTTCAATTACACACACGACCTACATTCTTGTGTCATCTAATACTGCCACAGAACAATATCTCCACATCAAAATGAATGATTTGCAACGCTACCCCGAAATCAGGGATGCACAGGTTAGGGGTAAAAAGGGCTGCAAACAGTGTGTAGATAGAGAACATTTTAACAAATAAATGCCTTCATCTGGCCTACTCTGTAGAGAATGTTCTTTAATTATGTATCTGTGCATTGTATGAGCAGGATAAACACAATAGGAATATAGAAACTGTGCAACGACCAAACAAAGACTTCAGCCTGTAGAAGACAAAACGAGATGACAAAATTATGTTGGAAAATCAGCTAATAGTTTATTATCTATTATTATTACAGTCTCCACTGCATTTTGGGAGATGGTAATCAATGTTCAGGCACAGCAAGCAGGCAAAAAGCAGCCCGTCAAATCACTGTGTCATCCTAGGAAATCTAGCTAAATACGTAGCTAGCTACATTATTGATCATAGTTGCCTTCTAATCATTCAAAGAATCTGGAGGAATTTCCGATTTACTAGTATTGGTATCGGAACAACTCTACTGGCGAATCCAGCTACCTTGCAAGGTGAAGAGCTCTTGTGAACTGATGTTGCATGTGGCTTGAACATGAGACCCAGACCCAACCCAAATGAAAACGAAACGAAATTTGAGGGAAAGTGAGGAGCATCTCTAAACAATGGCCAGATATTAAACAGACAGCTACCTTGGCATAAACTGTATGGCAAATTCCCTGACAATTGACAAAGGAATTTCGTCTCATGGTTTATCAGCAAATCAGCCAACCCTAATGTCGTTGCATAATGGATTTTGGCCCATTTTGTCTACTTTAAAACATTTATGCATTGGCCTAGACCTGGTCTGTGTCATGTGGGGAGCTACATGTTTGCTGTTCCTGTATGTGCTGATGTAATGTACTCAACTAATTATACCAAAGCCATTTCCTTAACACACACACACACACACACACACACACACACACACACACACACACACACACACACACACACACACACACACACACACACACACACACACACACACACACACACACACACACACACACACACACACACACACACACACACACACACACACACACACAGGGGAGTGTGCGGCAGAGGGAGAAGACCAATGTACTGTATCTGAGAATAACACAACAATTGCCTTGCCTCCAGCAGGCTCTAAAAGGCTGTCATAATAACTAGTTTGAGAGCAAACTCGGCGCTCTGCACTAACAGCAGCATTAACGGCTGCATCAGGAGTATGGCTTGGCTATGAAATTAAATGAGGACAGAATGTCAGACATATCCACTTCTGCTTTATTTGCCCTTTCTTCTGCTTCCTGCAAAGCACACACACAGGGACAAGCAAATGCTCTTACCTTCAGAGAGCAAGTGAGCCTGCCATAAACCAGAATCCAAATCAAACAATCAAACTATAAACCTGAAGAAAGACAAAGATAAATGGACTAAATAAATGCAACATAGGAAGAAGCAATGTGACAACACAGCATATGTTTTGTCTTAGCTATGCATGAATCACCCGTGAGCGTTTGAGCATTCACTTTGATGGTTTATCTGATGATTTTAATCCCCAACAGCATTTAATTAGTAAAAAATAATATACACACAATAAATCATGAATATTTTGTGGTTTTCAGGAAAAAATAATCATATTGTATTAAGTACAACAGATGTTCTCTGAGTAGTTTTTAAAGTAGAAGTGAAATAAAATTCAGGTTTAAGACGTCTCAAATGAGGGCTGGCTTGCGTTTTTTCTTCAACACTGCTTCCCATACAAAACCAAAAGTTTCTGACCAATATAGCAGAGCGATAATTGATCAGTTTTTCTACAAAAACATTTTTTGTAATTTAGCAAATGAAGCCAAACACTAACAAAATCCGGTCTGTCAGCAGATGTCAGAGATCCGGTCTGTTGTGACTTACCTCCTTGCCGAGGTCTTCTCTGATGACCTGCTGGATCTCCTCCATGGTGCTCTGAGGAGCTCGGCTGTGGAGCACCTTCAGTGTGGACGTGTACTCCTCGGGCAGCAGGTAGTCCAGAGCGCCCAGGTGCTGGCCCACCTTGATGAAAGTACCCCGGTTGGCACAGCACAAGTCTCGGAGACGCTCTGCCGACCGCAGATGCACCTACAGGCGAGGGAACAGAGAAAACAGACAAAAGGTATCCACGTAAATGTCACGGTGTTCTGAGATGAGATGTCTGATGTGTAATGCTGATGCTCTGACCTAAGGATGGAGTCAAACAGTGTCTATACAAGGGTTCAACCTCTTTAGACGACTGTGATACAACTTAGCGAGCCTGGAAAGACTGCAGGTCATATAAAGTCAACAAACACTCATCACCTGGTCTCTCTTACATGAAAACTATTGTTTCCTTTATTCTAATATAGCACCAATCTTTCCCAAACATTACCCAAATTATTTTATCTGTCTAAACTCAACCACACCTCTTCCTATACACCTATTAACAGATACCTAGTTTGTCAAAAGCGCCAGGACTCATCCTCCAGAGATCAAAATTCACAGAAGATTTTATTGCAGTCGACCCATTAGTTAGTAGCTAACTCACTCAGGTCCTAACCAGGGATTAGTTGTCAAGTTACGAGGTCATAGACCATGCCATAAATATTGGTCTACGGTAAAAATATTCCTAGGCCTACGTCGATCTATAGCATTTCATTCATTTCTGTGAAGTATTGAAATTGTTTCTTATTAAAATTTTATTAAGAGATAGACAGATATTTAGATTTTTTTATTTAGATTTTTATTAGATTGTTTATGATCTAAACTCTGAACACAAGCCATATTCAGAGCCTTCAGTCTCTGATAAACAGCCTCATCCTGCATTAGAAAGGTATGCAGTTAAAACAACAAAGAGCTGATAGAACAATGAGAGATTCATTATTCTTTTAAATTAATAAAAAGTAAATGAAAACTGAACACTAAATTTGTCCAAAAAAGTGCCTAAAAATATCAGGAAAACTAATATTCACAGGAAATAATCTTCTGAGAATTGATCCAAATCGCTCATTTTACACAAACTTCCTGCACTTATTGTGTTCACTGTTTGGATTCATTGTACAGTTTATCAGTTGTTCTCTCATATCAAATTCAATGCATAACAAAAACAGTAAATATCCATAAAATAGGTCACAGTCAGTTTACTCAATGATAGAAAATGGCTGCCTTCAGGAAAAACGTTGGGAACCACTGTTCTAAACCATTGGTTCTCAAACTATGGTACGTGTACCTCTAGTGGTACGTGGGAATCTCTGAAATATTATATAAAATTTAAATAAATTAATTTAAAAACATAATACAATCAAAATACAAGAAACTGAATGAAAATACTTTGACTCAATATCAGCCTGCACGCATGCGTTCATCCATGATTAGTTAGGAGCTAAGATGTGATAGTAAGATCGTAAGCGGAGGTTCAAAAACACTGCAATCGTGGCTGGAGGAACTATTGGTAAGAGAAGTTTGGACCAGGAGGACCCCTTTTCCACCAGATTAGCTCTGGTTCTGGTACCGGCCCCGTTCAGGATTCAGCAACAGTTATTAGGAATAAACCCGCCTGCCTAGCGGAACAGGGTCGGCCTACGCTGCTATATCTTATCAGTAATGGTGGTACTAAGAGAACACGGTATTTTCTGAGGTGGTGTGCAGCTTGCTCTAAACTATCTTTTTATGCTGGAGCATTAACTAAGGAAACTTAACAAGGGACGAGACAAGAGAATAAAAATATTCAGGAAGTTGAACAAAAGCACAACTACAACACAAAATACAATATATATAGACTATTTTAATTAAAGGGCCCTGGATGTTGTCTGTGGTGTTTGTCTTTGTGTATGTGTATGTGTGTGTGTGTGTCTGTGTCTCTGTGTGTGTGTGTGTGGTGGCCGCGTCCCGTCTGTCCCATTTGAACCAGCTGGAAGCGATAATGCTTATAGAGAGTTCCTCTCCTGAGACCAGTGCAAATAAAAAGCCGTGAAATTAGCTCCCCTTAACCCCTGTAACCCCCGCTACACACACCATGAATACAGACCAGCACAAAATACGCGCACACACACACACACACACACACACACACATACACATACACATACACACACACACACACACACACACACACACACACACACACACACACACACACACACACACACACACACACACACACACACACACACACACACACACACACACACACACTTCCCATAGGACCATTTGACATGAGTGTCATCTGGGCAATTATGACAAAGCAATGACAGAAACAAGTCGCCAGAGATTACCAGATGAGCCTTTCTGCTTAAAAATCTAATAGGAAACGTTTGGGTTTTTTTTCAAGGTTTTTTGTTGTTTGTTTGTTTTTTTATAAAAACCATCACACTACAGCACCAGAACCACCCACTCATTTCTGACTGTATGGAAAAGTAAAGGTAAAAGCTTTATCACATAATTGGTAGAATCATTAATGTGTTTATCACACAAAAAAGCACAGGAAGTTAAACAAATTGGATTTTTGGGTTTAATCTTTAATTCCTAAACCTAATTTATTCCTAAAACCTTATTTATATAGCTCTTAAACCAAAACAACAAACTGACTTGGTTAAACTTAGATAAACTAAGTCAATCCTAATATTTGGAGGGGGTGCATAAAAATAATGCATATTTTTTGTCAGAAAAAGGAAACTTCTGAGATCAATAATTATGATAAAGTCATAATTTCAATTTAAATGTCAAAATGCTGGGAATAAAAAAAAAATCTGAGAATATCTTACGGTTTTGACCCTGCTCTAGGGAGTTCAAATAAACAAAACAGACCTAATAAAATAGACCCCTCATTCTTTCCATTTGGTCTGATTTTTAAGGACTTCTGACTAAATTAATAACACAGAATCATTTTCAAACATTTCCCTAAGGTCTCAAAAACAATTCAGCAATAATGGTCATTTTATCCAAGATGTATTCCATTCTTCCTATTTTCCATGGAAAGACGGTCTAAAAAAGGCAAAATAATACAAAAGTCTTCCTATTATATCATGTGACCATATCATGTTGCTGTTTAACATGAGCTTGCAAATAAATAGAGCAAAGTTCAATTGTAATCAAAACAAACAAAATGAGTCACAGTTGTTTTTGTTGTCTTTTGTACAACAGCCGAGCAGAGTTCATTGCACTAGTGGTTTACATGTGATTTTGTGGACATTTGCCATATTTAGTTGCAAAGCGGCATCTTGGGTAGGTAATGTATTTCAGTGGGTTTTTTTGCTTTATTTGTTGAAATTCTCTTTGCATCCAAACAACAATCAATAAATCAAATGCTCTGGAAAAAATGAAACCAATCCTGTATCTGTGGCAGGCCTGTGATAAGCTGGCCTACCTGTGTGCACTCACTGTGCATGACAATGTGTGCCGGGAGAGTGGCTTTGGATGGAGGCCTGAAGGGATCAGATTGTGGGATTTTTTTCGGTAGTATACCTTTAAAATCTAGCTGTCTCTTGCTAGTCTCTACCTTCACTTTATTAAAACTATTGCACCTCATCTTCACCTCAAAGTGGATGCTACAGCAGTATTAAAACATTGTCACTATTTTCATAAATAAAAACTATTAGAATCACAATGATGTGACATTTGTTTGGGTCTGTACCAAACAAACATGTGGAGAACAGGATTTGTATGTATTGTTGTTGCCTAAAATGGCTGATTTCACTACAGCTTTTTTAGGAAATTAGAAAAAGTGAAAATTGCAGTCTTTTTTGTGTAATTAATTAAAAACCAAAGGCAACCAGTTTCAGTGAGAATTAAATTGTTTGCAGTTTGGTGGCGTACAGCTCAACACTTTGCAGGGCGAGGACTTCTATGATTGGTCAAACTTGCGGTCACACAGAATTGACGCCATTGGTTGAATTTGCGTTAATTGTTGCAACATTGCAACTTCTTGGAGGGACTGTACAGTACTTGATTATAATGTAGTTTTTTAAAACATTTTAGATGTATGAAAAAATTGCAGCTTCAGTGATTTGGATTCTGCAATTTTATAATATTGGGATTAATTGTGCAACACTGAATTTAAACTCGGTATAGAGTGGGACAAAATGTCACTGTGAGAGCTGTGATCGCTTACTGATTTGTCAATAATTAATGATTATACTGCCAATGTGTAAAACTAGAATTTTTTTACTATTATTATCATGATTATTATGATTATGATTCTGATGATTATTAGTAGTAGGAACGTAAAGGGAATTAAATTGCAATACAAACATGAAGATTCAAATCAGTGAGAAGAAAAATGAATCGTGATATCAGTTGTGGTAACACATTGCCAAGACTTCAGGAAATATGCACTGTTTTGCAGAGTTAATACCCTACCACGGAAATAAAAAAGGATTCTATAATTTGATAAACATAAGAAAAAATATATTTTGTCTGTAGAAAAATGTGTCCTCAATCTCAAACATCAGGAGAAAATTGTATTCTGTAAACTGTATCAGATGGTGAGTGTATCGTTACATCCTTAATTAGTAGCAGTGGTATTAGTATCAGGATTTGAATGATATGGTATGAAACCCCCACCAGAAAAGAAGGAAGCCGTTTGTTCTAATGGCAGCAGTTTTTAGCCTGTTGAATGTTTTTTACTGCAGACAAATCTGGAAGGCCTTTCTTTGTAGTCTCAGTCTTGAGGCTTTTTCACTCCTCTGCCATACACACGGAAGGCGTGTTCGACTCGCCGAGCAGCGGTTTTCCAAACAAATCAATGACAAAAAACACAGCCTCATCAATAATTGTCTTTAATCATCTCAGTCTGATCAATAAACCGGTGATTTCAATTCAAAACAACAGCCTGTGTCTTTAAAACAGTCGGATCACCTGAAGTCATGACAGAGCTATTTCTGTCAGAATGTGTTTGGAAGCTGATTCGGGGGGCTGATCAGGATGAAAATCTGGCATCAGTTTGCCCACGGCTCGTATCGCCTAATCATCAGATTCATCATCGCTCCTCTCTCTCTCCTCTCTTCCAGTAATCAGTGCGCTTTGTCCGACGGAGGCGGGCTCACAGCTAGAGGATGACATCACCATGGCAATGCTGCTCGCTGACAGCCTGAGGGCTACGCTGCTCT